GTGAGTTGGGCCCGGTCTGTGAGTGACAGCAGAGCTGACGGTATAACACGGCGAGTTTGAGACGTTAATCGGTGATTGATCACGGCGACAGTGTTTATGAGCACAGCCTCATCACAGGCGCTTATTTCTCATCTCAGAATGACAACAGGAGGCGAGAGCTGCCGCCGTTAAACACCGAGAGCAGCCGCGGGCGCCGGGCGCTCCGGTGCGGCTCGGTTCGGGATGATCTCCGGGCTCGTTATGGCTGCGGGTGAATCCGAGCGCGCACGCGCACACACACACACATATACACACATACATACATACATACATACATAGAGAGACACGCACACATACACAAACCCACATGCGCGCGCACACACACACACACTGCTAACTGCTAAGCGAACAGCACACGCAGCGGCGCACGCACCTGCTCTCCTGCGGGCCGGAAGCGCTCCTGCAGCGGATTCACTCTCTAATGTGTCGCCGCGGCCGAAGCGCAGCAGCAGCGGCTCGATCTACCTCATAACAGCCGCCAACCGCCGCATTCCCGGTGCTGGAAGCTCCTCGGAGGACAATAACGGAGGAAGAGTCCGCGCGGGTTTATTTCACAGCGACTCTGGGCCTTTAAGAATAAAAACAAAACGACTGAAGGCATCAACACATCCGCTGCTCCTCTGCGCTCGGGATGGAAAGATGGAGCTCCGCTGCGCGCATGCGCGCCTGACAGCGACCACAATGCACCGGGGCATGACGGGACCCACGAGCGAGTGCTAAAATGTTCATGAAAGATTTCATCATAACGAATAAACCCCGCGAGGAGCAGCAGGAGGAGGAGGAGGAGGAGAGACGCGAGGAGGAGCCGCGGCTGACCTGCAGAGCAGCGCGTACATGAGCAGCACATTCAGCTCAGCTGTAAACACAAAACAGCGCACAGGGTGCAGTTCCGCCAGCGGCCACCAGACGGCAGAACACTGAAGAGTCGCGCGCGCGCGCACACACACACACACACACACACTCGCCTGTGTGATTTCCCGAGGCTTCTACATCAGTCAGAAACACACACTTGCTTTGCTTTCTGCTTATTTCTTTATTTTAGAACGACAGAAAGGGTTTTACATTAGCAGTAGCCTACAGAGAGAAATAGAGAGAGTGTGTGTGTGTGTGTGTGTGTGTGTGTGTGTGTGTGTGTGTGTGTGTGTGTGTGTGGTGTACAGTGTGATGGGCTGCTCATGATCAGTGTTGTGTGTCGGCTTTCTCTGGTCCTGAGCAGCGCAGCATCAGTCCGGTGTCCCGGTGCTCGGGTCCTCCTCAGCTCGTCTGTCATGTCGCCTCTGGTCTCGGTGTTTATTCGGCGGCCCCTTAAATGCAAGGCCGTCATCCTCTGTGCGCATGCGCTCTGCATCCCTCATCCCGGTGACGTCACGGCCTTCGTTCTGACAAGATGCGCTTCTGTTCCGCGGAGCAGCGCCGATCTGCGTGATTTACCGCGACCAAAACAAAGAGATCCGGTGCTGCGGAGCCCAGAGTCCGCCATGGAGCTGCAGCAGGCGCTGTCCGGTACCGGCGGCGGCATAAAGATGTACGGGGCGCTGCAGGAGACACACACAGGTGACGGATGTTCAGCTCACACACACACACACACACACACACACACACACACACACACACACACACAAATAACAGCATCTTTTGTGCGATCAAGTGTCTTATAGTTGTCTATTATAGTCTCTATTGACCACGCGCTCGGTATCTTCATCATCATCATCAGTGTGTGTGTGTGTGTGTGTGTGTGTGTGAACACTGTGGTGAGTGTGTGAGTTGTGTGTGCAGCGCTGTTATTCCTGCTAATGTTCATGTTTTGAGATCTGCTCATGTGAGCTAATAATGCTGAAGCGGATGGAGGAGTCTCTCATCTTCATCATCATCCTCCTCATCCCCCCTGAGCGTCTCTGTGCTGATCTGCAGCCGCTGTGCTGTGGGTAACTGCTCTACAAGCGCCGCTCTGCTGCTGCTGCTCTGTGCTCCAGCGCCGGTCCTCAGTGTGAGCCGCGAGTTCAGCTTCATGCAGGAGGAACAGAGCCGGAGCACCGCCACAGCACAGCTCCTCTGATCATCACACACACACATCATCACACACACTCACCATCACACACATCATCACACACATCATCACACACACACACCATTACACACACAATCACACACATCATCACACACACTCACCATCACACACACAATCACACACATCATCACACACACTCACCATCACACACACAATCACACACATCATCACACACACACACCATTACACACACAATCACACACATCATCACACACACACACCATCACACACACAATCACACACATCATCACACACACACAGCCATTACACACACAATCACACACATCATCACACACACACACCATCACACACACAATCACACACATCATCACACACACACACCATTACACACACAATCACACACATCATCACACACACACACACTCACCATCACACACACTCACCATCACACACACAATCACACACATCATCACACACACACACCATCACACACACAATCACACACATCATCACACACACACACACACCATTACACACACAATCACACACATCATCGCACACACACACACTCACCATCACGCTCACATCATCACACACGCATCATCAAACACACACATCATCACACACACACACATCATCACACACACTCACAAACACACATCATCACACACACTCACCATCACACACACAAACTCACCATCATGCACACATCATCGCACACACACTCTAACACTCTCTCTGTGTGTGTGTGTGTGTGTGCAGGTGACGTGTCGATGGCCGAGCGCTCGGTGTCTGCAGAGGAGATTGAGGCAGAGATGTCGCGTATTCAGCGTCTGCGGGAGGTGCTGGTGCGGCGCGAGTCTGAGCTCAGATTCATGTGAGTAGACACAGAACACACACACACACACACACACACACACACAGTCTTTACCATGAAATGCTGTACATGTGTGTGACATGACGCTGCGCTCTTCTGCTCAGGATGGACGACATTCAGCTCTGCAGAGAGATCATGAGCCTGAAGCAGGAGCTGAGGAAGACTGTCAGAGTGCCAGGTGACACACACACACACACACACACACACATACATAGAGAGTTGTGTAGAGTACAGCTGTGTGTGTGTGTGTGTGTGCGTGACTGATCTCTGCTGTACCGCAGACGCAGAGAAGACGAAGCAGCAGCGGCAGACAGAGGAGAAGCTGATCCTGCAGATACACACGCTGGTGCAGAAGAGAGATTACCTGGTGGAGGACGCAGAGGTGGAGCGCCTGAGGTGACACACACACACACACACACACTCATTCATTCACACACCACATCAATGAAGACAGTAGAATCACAGCTGTGTGTGTGTGTGTGTGTGTGTGTGTGTGTGTGTGTGTGTGTGTGTGTCCCACAGGGAGCAGGAGGAAGATCAGGAGATGGCGGAGTTCCTGCGGCAGAAGCTTGGTGTTATCCAGAGTAAGACTTCAGCCTTCACACACACACACACACACACACACACACACACACACAGTGCACACGACACGAAGACTGTATATGAGCATCTGTTGCCCAGTGCTCTAGAGATGAGCTTGACTGGTGCTACTCCAGCAGCAGCAGCTGTGTGTGTGTGTGTGTGTGTGTGTGTGTGTGTGTGTGTGTGTGTGTGTATCAGTGTTTCTACACTCTTACTTCAGTCTCGGCCCCTGATTCTCTGACAGACACCAATCACAGCAGCTGTGTGTTTCCAGGTCAGTGATTGGCTGTTCTCTGCTGATGTCCCGCCTTCCTCAACTCAGGATCAAAGGCAGAGTTACCAGAGATCAAAGATCAGTGAGTGACACGGTGGTGCAGTAGGTGGTGCTGTCGCCTCACAGCAAGAAGGTTGCTGGTTCAAGCATTGGCTGGGTCAGTTGGTGTTTGTGTGTGGAGTTTGCATGTTCTCTCTGCGTTCGCATTGGTTTCCTGCAGGTGCTCCGGTTTCCCCCACAGTCCAAACACATGCGCTATAGGGGAACTGGGTTGGCCAAGTTGTCTGTACTGTATAAGTCTGAATGAGTGTTTATGGATGTTTCCCAGAGATGGGTTGCAGCTGCCTATAACATATGCTGGAATAGTTGGTGGTTCATTCCACTGTGGCGACCCTTGATTAATAAAGCGACTAAGCTGAAAAGGAAATGAATGAAGATCAGTGAGTGCTGGGTCACAGCCTGAGTGTGCTGGGTTAGTTTAGCGACCCGTCTGCTCCTGAGTTTGCTGATCCAGCATGGTGGAAGTGGTCTGTGTTCTCTCCTGTGCAGTGTGTGAATTATACAAGATCAGGGCTGCGTTTCCCAAACCACAACGTAACTTGTGGCTGAACTACCATAGGTTGATGCATCGCTTGGGAAAAGAGTGCTGTAGTGACGAGTGTTTGCCAAAACCTCTAGCTTCTCTGTGGCAGACCCATCGCCTGAGCCACGCTAGTAATAATGTAAAACAGCCATAATGATGCTCTAAACAGGGTGGAGGACCAGCTTCTGTAGAGAGGAACCCCGTCATTCATTGGTGCAGATTATACTGTTCTACACGCATTTAAAATAAATCCAATATTAGTCCAGTAAAAGCATGCACTCGCTCTCCATAATACCTGTAAATGACACATGTAGAGGCTGTGTTCCCTTTACAGACATTATTAAGGACATATATTCACATATCACATTCTCTAGTCTAAAGCATAAAGCACTTACAGAAGCTAACACTATTCTAATATCATATAGAAACCGTATAAATAAATAAATAAACATTGAGGCGATTTAATAAAAATGAAGTGTAATATTTATTATTTATTAAGAAAATGAAAAATCCTACTTTAATAGTATTAATGATGATGATTATTCAGCAGGGTATTGTTTATTCATTGTTTATTTATTTGAAGAGTCTTCTTTTAGTTTGACACTGTAAACACTGCAGAAATGTTCTACCCAGCAGGCCGTGTCAGACACAGCACAGATGCTTCATAAATGACCTGTAATTAATTAAAGCATTAGCATTTGCTGTGTTGTTTTCTCAAGCTTTGGAGATGAACCGTAAATTTGGCTTTTAAATAAGATCACCTATAGCTTTCGCCATGAGCCACGGCTGTGTTCAAAATGCCATCAATGTGTTCAAAGTGCACTGTGAAGGGAGCGCAATAGTCAATATGAAGATGGCTAAAACATAACTAAAATTCTCTGAAAGCAAACTACAGCTAAGAGAGATGAGCGTACTGCAGCTTTAATCATTCCTAGTTTAAATGTTAGCATGTTCTTAATGAATAGGGCATAAGGAGGGATAACAAGGAACAGAACACAGCCAGGAACTCCGTCTAACTACAGAGCAGAGCACAAGTTTGTGATGCAGTATACGAATGCTTGATGGAGCGAGGGATTTGGGAAACGCTGAATCAGCGAACTGTGTTTGTACCGACGGAACTGGCGACCTTAGTTAGCTAATGATGGTTTTGGGAAACACCCCAGTGCGGTCGACAGTTCAGTTAGATTGTAACGCGCGCTTCTGTCGTGTATTTATGGTTAATTACTCCTGGTTTAATAATAATATTTCAGTGTTTTGAGGGATGCTGCAGCTCAGACTATACACATTACCCTGACTCAGACTCGGTGTTCAGGCTGGAGGAACTCTAGAGTGGTCAGTGTTGTGAACTGGACGGCCGCCGCTGCTCCACTTCCTACTGTCTCAGTTGTTCTGATCGTGTTGACAGCGGTTTGGACCGTTATGAGGTGCTCAAATCAATATTTATATGATCTGTTCCTTTAATTATTAATATTATTGTTTAAAACACACAGAGTGATCAGTATTAAAGGGATCACCCCCCCCCCCCCCCCCCCCC